TACAAAAAAAATTGGTGAACAATTGGTGTAATGTTCAAATGTCTGCGATTATTAGATTCTGAGTGAAACGATGATTGTATTGATTTTACAATGATGTGTGTTTTTTTTTATTTTTTTTTGTGTCTGTCATCACGTTTTAGGACAGTAAAAGTGCTTGGATTTTCTTCAACAGTAGCTTTTGTGATAGGAAAGTGAATCTAGTTGGTATTTTGGGGGTTAAAAGTAAAAATTTCCCAATAGTTTTCAAAAGCGCCGTGAAAAACAAAAGAAAAATTAAGGAAAAAGTTTTATCTGTTGGGCCAAAAAGTGTAAAAATGTAATACAAGCCTCCTGATATATTGTTACAATAACAATTGAAAAATATTAAAAATACATAGGCACAGTTTTTTTTTATAAGCATTTAAAGATCGAATTTTGACAAAATTTATGAAAATCTCGAAAATTATCAATCATTGTAATTAATAAATTATAAAATGTTCAGTTTTTATAGCTAAGGATTGCAAATTTAAAACAAAGGTTCTCATAAATAGTTCATACTGTAACCAAATCATCTAAAAAATATATGAACACAGTTATTTTTTACAGACATTTTAAATCCAAAATTGGACGAAATTACATATTAAAATCAATATTAACGATCTTGGTTTTTCGTTAAAAATAGAATTCGGGGATATATGATACCTAATGGATATTATGATATGATTAATTTGGAATTTATTATAGGCATCTATTATAGGTCAATTTTTTTTTTAATAACATCGATAAATATATATGTCTTATACCTAGATTGACATACCGTCTCCACTCAGAATCGTTTTTCTTATACAATGATATTATATCGTTGAATTCAAATTTAATACCATCCATTATACCATGACCCACTTGTAACCTACAGTACAGCAGAGCGATATCCACTTACCCACCTTTTTATTTTTGAATTACATCAAAATAAGAAATCGGGTACGGAAAAAACACCCAATGTCTAATTTCAAACGCTCCTAAAAATTTAGTTTAACTTTCCGGAAAGTTTTTTTTCTTTAGAAAGGTAGGAAAACTTATGGAGAATCTCTTGTCAAATTTTCAAATCTTAGACTCAAACCAAAATTGTTTTATGAATTTCTAAATAAAAAAAAACTGCGAAATTTCGTGATTTTTACGTATTTTTTCAAATTTCTAACTTTAGAAGCTAATAAAAAACAATCAAATAATTACGCTCAACTTTTTTTTTGATTTTCACTTAAAACAAGTTATGAATTATCTTGTATTACATTTTTAAGTTTTTCGACAAAGGGAAAAAATTTTTATCGACGTTTGCAAAAAAAATATTAAAAAAACCGAAAATTTATTATACCTATAAATAGCTCAAAAAAAGTTGAAATATTTTGAAAATTTGATGGTGTATTGAAATTGCAAATATAAACATTTTATGAAAATTTCATGTACCTACGGTTATTATTTTGTGTGTTACACCAAAAAAAAAAGGTTTCTTATAAATTGTACTTATTACAACTAAAAAAAATCTAAAGTTATTGAATACAATTTTTTATTATTAGCGTTCAAATTTTGGTTTGAAATTCATCATTGAACATTTGCAAATCGTATTGTAGTTAAATAATTTGTCAAAATATTATAATTATTATTAACATTTTCACATTACCTACTACTTACTAGTTACCAAGACCAAGTACCACCTATTAAAATGACACCCACCATAAACTTTTAGGTGGTACGGTGAAGTGATCAAGCGGTTTGCCTCTGCATTAAATTATAACTGCAGGAGGGCACTAGTGCCACGTACTTTGTATGTTAAAATATGCTGTGTAACTGAGTCACTCGCCACCCTATACAGGCAACACGTTTATATAAATGTATATAAAACACAATGTATTTTCAAAGTTTATTATTAAATGTATATAATATATTATATAGTTACCCCAATATTGAAAATACTATTGCGCCTCTACATGATGAAAATAGTTTAGACATTAGTGGTGTACATGAGATTGATGATGGTGATTCTTACGAGACTACTGAAGAAAATCATAGTGGACAGTAAGTTTTAAATTTTCAAATGAAATTAATATTGGTTCATTTTAAATATAATTTAGGTATTTTAAAAAAATTTGTTTTTAAACATGTAATATATAGCTGCCTTAATATCGAACATACTATAACACCTCAGTATAATCAAAATAGTTTGGAAATAAGTGGTGTAGATGAGATTAATGAGGTCGATTCTTACGAGATCGCTAAAGAAAATCATGGTGAAGAGTGAGTCTTAAATTCCCATGTAAAAGCAATAAATAATAATTGATTTTTTTAAAATTATTTTTGATATTCAGGAATATTTTAAAACAGGATTTTGGTAGACGCATTGTTGATATCATGTTTATATTCAAGCAAATTAAAAAAAGTCGACACATAGGTGGTTTTGGTTGTACTTTTTTAGACATGCAATTCGTAGCCGAAAAGCAAAATGGTTTTAGGTCTTCGTTCAAGTTTTTATGTGATATGTGTAACTGTCAATTAATTGTTTATTCGGAAGAAAAGGTGTCTCCTTCATGCATTCCAATAAATGAAGCAATTGTTAGTGGTACAGTTGCAGCTGGTATTGGATATACACAGCTATCGGAATTATCAGCATCAATAGATATTCCTTGTATGTCAAACACCACATACAGCTTAGTTCTCTCCAAAATGGGTGATACAATACACAATGCTGCATTACAAGAGATGAAATTCGCAGGAGAGGAGGAAAGGAAATATGCTCTTGAAACAAACTGTGTTGATGATGACGGTGTACCGATGTGTACTGTGGTCGCTGACGGACAATGGTCAAAACGATCATATAAAACAAAATATGATGCATTGTCTGGAGTTGTAAGTGAATAATAGTTTAAATAAAACAAAAATCAATTTTGTTTTGATAGATTAATGTTTGTTTTTAGGCTACTATAATAGGCTACAAATCTAAAAAAATTTTGTTTATTGGCATACGAAATCGTTATTGTGTTGTATGTCAAAGAGCTGCTAATACAAACACAACTGTACCTAAACATACATGTTTCTTAAATTGGACCAAAGGAGCAACTAGTATGGAAGCTGACGCAATAGCTGAAGGTTTCAGACGAAGTGTAGAAATACATGGTCTTAAATTCAACAAATTAATTGGTAAATATGTATTTAAACTAAATATTAAATAAATATATAAAAAAAACAATATTCAAAATACTGTAATTATAAATTACAACATAAATTGTATAAAAATATTTCAAATTCTAATGATAATTATTGGGTTTTAGGCGATGGTGATTCTAGTGTCACCAAACGGTTACGAGAATTAATGCCATATGGACCAAATTTATTAGTACAGAAAATTGAATGTCGAAATCATTTGTTGCGTAATTACGGAACCAAATTAGCTGCAATGATAAAAAATACTAATTACCCCATTGAGCTGAGGCACCATATAAAAAGAAACCAATTACGATTTAGATGTTCTATTACTAAAGCAATTGAGTATCGAAATAAATTGGAAAATCAAACAGAAGCTCAGAAAATATTTGGTTTGTAATTTTAACATATTCTATTAGGTTTTTGGTTGGTTGGTACCTACGTATTTTTCGAATACAATAATTTTAGATTCTGAGCGGAGCGATGAATGTATTGATTTTACAATGATGTGTTTTTTTTTTGTCTGTCATCACTACGTTTTGAGGGAGTAAAAAAAAAAAAAAAAAATAATGCATAAAGACATGAAATTTTCACCAAACGTTTATATATGCAATCTCAATACACCACCAAATTTTCAAAATACTTTGACAATTTTTGAGCTATTTATAAGCATAATAAATTTTCGGGTTTTTTTAATATTTTTTTTTGCAAACGTCGATAAAAATATTTTCCCTTTGTCGAAAAACTTAAAAATGTAATACAAGATAATTCATAACTTGTTTTAAGTGAAAATCAAAAAAAAAGTTGAGTGTAATTATTTGATTGTTTTTTATTAGCGTCTAAAGTTAGAAATTTGAAAAAATACGTAAAAATCACGAAATTTCACAGTTTTTTTTTATTTAGAAATTCATAAAATTTTTTTGGATAGAGTCTAAGATTTAAAAATTTGACAAGAGATTCTCCATAAGTTTTCCTACCTTTCTAAAGAAAAAAAAATACCGAAAGTCAAATTAAATTTTCATGAGCGTTTGAAATTAGACATTAGGTGTTCCCTCGTTTTTTCCGTACACGAATTTCTTATTTTTATGTAATTCAAAAATAAATAATCGCAGACATTTGAACATTTCTCCAATTGTTAAGATAACCATTTTGTATACACCAACAAAATTTAAAAATTTTCAGTTTAATAATTCAATTATAATTGTTCGTAGACATTAAGTTAAAATTTGGACGACAAAATCTCGAATGTCTGCAAATTGATTTTTAGTTATAAATTTATAAAATATGCTAGACCGACAAACCGTCTCCGCTCAGAATCGTTTTTCGTATATACAATGATATATCATTGAATTCAAATGTAACACCATCCATTATAGCGACCCACTATGTAGTAACCTACTGTGCAGCAGAGCAACATCCACTTACCCGCTTTTTTAATTAATATTTTACATTTATTTATTTCTACCGGGTTTACGAAAAGATATAACAAATAGTTTTTTACATATTCTTGGGGATCACAGACAATGTGAACAATACTTTTTAAGGGTTCAAAATTGAATGAAACAAATTACTTTTTACTTTCGAACAAGTCAGGGCTATTTCAAGAATTTAGTCAAATAGTTAGTCGTCTAGCAAACAATGCTGACAGTTTGTTAATGAACGTTGATAATAATATCTGCGAGCAATTTAATAGTATTATAAACAAACACCTCTCTGGAAAACGGATTAACTTTTCTCAAAGGCAGTCTTATAATATCCGAGTAGAAGCAGCAGTATTGTCACATAATACTGCAGGGAAATATATACGTAGTATCCATAAAAGTATAATGAACACCAGTCCAGGTAAACTTTAGGTTAAATGTCGAAAATGGTGAATAATTGTATTGTAATAAGTTGTTGCATATTTCTTCTTTTAGGTGAAATTGGTAAGAAGTTTTTAAAATCTAAAACTAAAAAAGTAGAAAACACGCGTAAACGAAAACTATTTCAAGAATATAAGCCTAAAAAGTTGGTATGTTCTGGTCCAGACCAATATTACGGATTAGTTGAGGCTTTAGTTGAAGATATTACACCGGAGGAAATGAATAAAAAAAAAATAGCTTTCTTGGACACACTTTCATTGACTCCGTCCGATAGACTAGTATTAGAATTTGAAACTAGACTTCAATCAAATTCTCAAAGGTGGCATAAAGAAAGACGCAATCGTTTAACTGCTTCGAACTTTGGACGAATATGCAAAATGCGAACAACGACATCATGCAAAAATGTAGTTTATGATCTATTATATAGATCTTTCTCGTCAAAATCCACAGAGTATGGAAAATCAATGGAACCACTGGCCATAAAAGAAGCAAAAAAAAAAATTGGTCAAACAATAAATACATGTGGTCTTTTTATTGATACTAAAAAACCATTTTTAGCTGCTACACCTGGTAATAAATGTTTATATATTTATTATGTCATAGTATTAAGTATACAATGTAAATTAGAAAAAAGATAAATAATTGATAATTATTTGAGTTTGTAAGCATAGATTTTTTTTTATTAGATGGAATAATAGATGACTGTTTAGTCGAAATAAAATGTCCGTTTTCAGCAAAAGATTGTGACAGTTATGTAGAAGCTATCAATGAAAAAAAAGTATAACTAATAAACTTGTATATTATAATTTATAAATGATCGTTAGAACATTTATTTTAGAACTTTTAAGTTGAATAATATTGTATAATTTTAGCTTCCCAACTATACCTTGATCGGTGACGAATTGCGCTTAAAATCTAGTAGCAATTATTACTACCAAGTACAAGGCCAAATGCGTGTATGTCAAAAAACCAAATGCTATTTTGTTATTTACACCAATAAATGGATAAATATCGAGTGTATTAATTACGATGAAGAATTTTGGCAGAAAAATATGGAGTCTAAGTTAGAAAAGTTAGTCCATACAATAACATATACAAATATCTTACATATTATCTAGTTTTAGATTAAATAGCTAACACAAGATATATTGACTACCCGAAATACTATTTTACAATTTAAAAATGAATGTTCACTTTTTCAGTTTTACATGAATTGCATTTTACCAGAAATATTAAACCCACAGAATGGTTAACGCTTCTTGGTAGAAGATATAAAGGACCCAAAAGAAGAAAGAAAATAATTAATGCATAACAAATAACAATTAATATGCATTATTGACAAGCAAAATAAAGCATCTAAATAAAATATAAGAATTTAAAAAAAAAAAATTATTTTGTATATTATTCCTTAGTAAGTCATTCAAGTTATTTGAACATGGTAATGTGTCCATCCACTGCCTTTTTAAAACTTACAAAAATGTACACACTGTTAATATAACATTTTTATTTTTATTTATTTGATTTAAATTGTATTTATTTGCGATGTATTTATTTAAATATATCATATAAAAATAAATATTAATTACAAATATATTTTACCCTAGGTATTATAATATTTGAATCAGTATTAATGCGATAACTACAAATCAAGATATGTCGTTTTTACTCTATATATTGCTACATAAATTTAAATCAGCAGTAACTTTCAATTGAAAACTGACCATGTCCGTAATCAGCTCAAAATCATTTTCGTGATTTTTCCATATTTTGTCAATTTTTGAACTTAAAATGCTTATAAAAAAAACTGTTGACTAAGGATTTTTATTATTTTTCATTATATAAATGAATTATTAATAAAATTCTATTGGTATTTTTTTAAGTTTAGCATTTATTATATTTTTCAGATTTTACGAAGAATGTTTACTACCTAAAATTGTTGATTCTTAAATCTCAATACAGAAAACAAATGCAAAAAAGTGATATTATTGACCCCCCACACATCAAAGAAAATATTATAAAATATAAAGAAAAAGAAAAAAAGAAAATTATAAATTATATTATATTTGTTGAACTTATATTAATTTTTTTCATGTTTAAATAACAGGAAATTATTACTCGTTACCATTTTATTATATTAATATAATATAATTATAATTTATTTTTTAAATAAAAATATGGTGATAAACTGATAAATAATAGGTCACATACTAAATAACTAAATCTATTGATTGATTTTATACATTTGATAAACTGTAATTAATTTAATTGTGTAATACTTATATAGTAGTTTGTATAGTAATTTTAAACAAACAGTTACTTATATAAATAATTGTATATGTGCTGACTTAAATTAAAAAAATATCATCTTAAAAATTAAACCACTAATCCAACTAAAAAATTTGCTACAGTTTGAAAAAAAATTGTTTGTATCGTACGTTTTCTAGCAGTTTTGGCAACTTTGCGATATATGGTTTCAATTTGTGTAAAATATGGTAATAGAAGATCTAGAGATTCGAACTATAAAAGTATAAATCAAAATAATATTATTATTATTTCGGATCGACGATATTATGGGTATTTATAAACTGTGCGCGGGTCACGGCGGCTGCGAAAGATAACAGGTTTCAATCTAAGGTGAGGTACCGCTGCTCATGCGCGCGGTGTGGGGAACGAGGACGGTTTTAAAACACTGCCGGCGTCTGCCGCTATAGTCGCGACAGCAGCACCGGACGGCTGTAATTTCATCGTTCTTTTACTAAAAACGGCAAAAACATGCTTGCGTAGTTCCAATAGTACTCAGTCCTCATTGATCGTAGAAACATTTTTTTTTCACAACAATAAAATTGGTAAGTTTATCTGTGTTTTCACAGAAGCATATTTTAATAGCACAATTTCTAAGAGATATATTTGCTATTAAAAATGTCAAGTTAATGGATTTTTAGAACTATATTTACACTTGTAGAATGAAAATATTTAAAAACGGCTCTGAGAAAACATAGAGAATGTTGTCATCTTTAATTTTGTACCAAAATGTTCAGCCTAAGTCTATTAGAAGCAAAGTACCATTGGAAATGCCAGAACATGTTTAAGCGCTTGAATATTGTTACTGTTGCGCCCTCTTAATGAAATAATATATTGTATTATTATTCTGTGGACTGATAATATTGATATGATTTATTTAAATGATAACATATGCCACGCCCCCTTAGAGACTGTGCTCAAGGCCACAGTCACCCGATTTTGCCAATACACAGAGTGTCCATACCCTGCTATAGGGCGATGTGCAACCTGTATATCTTTAATCGTGAGCCAAATAAAACCACCGGTAGCTCTGAAAACTTCAAGACCAGAATTCTTATCAGCTAAGTGACATATTTTCGTGGCCGTCCACTGATCCCCGCCGATCTTGTCGTTCCCAGTCCATTATATCGTTTTCTATCTGAATGCACTAGTGTACACGGGACTGTATTACATGTTCCACAATTATTCGTTCCAATAGACATTTGTTCCAAAAACTTTTGTTCCAAAAACTTATTGGAACAAATATCCATTGGAACAAATGTAATTTGGAATATCATTGGAATAAATGCTTATTGGATTTTGACAAAATATATCGGAACAGAATATATGGCTTGCAAAAAAGTTCATTGGAACAAATGTACAAGTGACAATTTCGGAATAAACCATTTGTTCCAAAAATAATATATTCCAATAAATATTTTTTCCCTGCTTTGTAGTTTGTTGATTTGTATTTTGTTGAAATTTGTTCCCATTCCCCGAGCAATGGAGAGCATTGGCATTTGGCGCACGCATAGATATTATATGAATACAATAGTAGTAATATAACAGCATTGATTATACCACAGTCGAGTTTCGAGTAGGTACACGTGAATAATAATTTTAAATTACCACAAAATATCTAACTAAAATCGTTTTTATATGTTTAAATGTTATGTAATTCGTCCAAATTTGAACTTAAGGGGCCTTGCACGTGGGTAGAATACGATTCCGTACGGCCCTTATCAGCGTACGGAATCGTACACATTTTAAGACACACGATTCCTGTCGATTCCGTACGTTTTGTACCCAAGAGTTTAGCGCAATGTTGCCAGATTTTCATAAGGTTAGGTATTTGACTATTTGACTTAGTTATAGCGTTTTACGTACGTCTCACTTAAATATAAGTAAGGGTCCAAACATAAAACAGATGATTATATTTTCCCGGCTATATAGGTAGGTACTTAACTTACCTATTAGATAAGTTTTTGTTGTATCCAGGGCCGTCGGTATTTAGAAATGATGTGCCCCGGGGCACTAATTAAATTCCGCCCCTCCTTTTGGTGGAATATGGGGATGTCCAGTGTTAAAAAAAATGTATAAACACACAGTTTTTTTTATAGTTATTTTATGTTCATATTTGGACGAAATTACATATAAAATAACCAAGAAAAACGATTTTAGTTATTATTTGTTGTAATTTTATAATAATATCAATTGAACTCACCGGCTACCGTATTTGTAATAAGTAATAACAAATTTAAATATAATATCAAATATCCCACATGACAACCCGTCCCAGCTCAGAATCGTTTTTCGTATACAATGATATTATATCATTGAATTCAAATTTACCATCCATTAAACAGTGACCCACTTGTAACCTACTGTACAGCAGAGCGACATCCACTTACCCACCTTTTTAAACATGTATTTAATATGAGTTAAGAACGAATGTGCAAGAAGAAAATTCAAATCATTCTTTTATAAGTTATGTCCTTCCAAAACTTTCGATTTTCTGTTTTACGCATTTGCATAACGTTGCGGTTTACCATGGCGCCATGCACCACGCTTACTAATTTAATTTTATATTATATTATAATATTTAATTATATTATTAATATTAATTTTTATTAACAATTTTAAACACATTACACATTTATTATTAATTATTATATTATAGAGAAAGTATAAGTAGGTATAATATACAATCATAATATATGCATGATATTATTTGTTTGAAACTGCAATAAAAAACTAAAATAGATACAATGATAACAATTTTTTCTTCTTGCCCGTTTCATAGCAAATGTTTTGAAATCTTCACCAAACCACACAATACATAAGGAAAAAAATATTTTATATAATTTCAAAATTATAACCATATGTTAGCTTAATACATAAACAAAATTCGTGAAAATTTACCCCCCCCAAGTTCCGCCAGGAGAGGCAATGGCCCACCCTGGCCCTCCCCTAAATACAGGCCTGGTTGTATCATAAGATAAATTCAAGCATGTCGATTTCATTTAGTGCAGTGTTGGTGGCGGAAAGTAATTTATTATGCTTAAAATATATTATAAATATACACATAATACAATAAAATTATAAATTTAAACGTATTAACTTAACAGATAAATTCTGATCAGCAACTCCGAGCAGCATATACAAACGACGGCGTATTAGGAAATTGGTTAAAACTATTTTTCGGGTTGCCATTCCTACCACCACATGAGATCGAAAATGCATTCGTTGAACTTGTATCTATATGTCAAAATATAGATATAGGATGCTTATTTTCTGATTATATATTACATATATGTAATACGTATACGTACGTAGAAGATGATTGTATATTTCCACCAAAAATTTGGCCTCAAGAGCCATCAGAAAATCCTCGGTAATACTATAATAACTATACACAGGGTGTAATAACTAAAACCTAACTTGTTTTCTAATATTATTTTATTATTGTTAGTACAACCATTAACTATGTATAATCAATGGATCAGAGAGTTTCCAATGTTTCCATAGAACATATTAAAATGCGCAGTTTCGTAGTTCACACCTTTCTATTCATTTGGTTACCTATATCAATATATCAGTTCTGAAACAAACATAATAGAAGAGACCTGCACAAAAATGAGATCAGCATCTAAAGGGCGTATCAATAAAATGGCCTTATAGCTGACAAACAACGTTTAGACCACACAATTAATGAATATGAAAAATATTTGATTCATACAAATATAATAAAATATTTGTCAAGTATTTGTAACAAATACTAAGGTATTAAACTATATTTATTTTTATTCACATTTCATATCTTAAGAGGACGTGATACCCGCATGTGTTTTCTCCGTCTTACAAGTGCGTAACATAGCAAATTTTACGCTTAGCAGAACACGTGTAGCTCCATTAGTTTGACATTTAGACCGAATTGACCTCTTATAAAATCTAAAGGTAAGATTATTTTCTAAACAACCTCATAGGCTTTTTATTATATTTTAATTTTTACCCGAGTTATGAGTATTTTAAAACTGTAAATTGTTTGAACATCTTAAAATACACATAACTCGCTTTAAAATTAAAATATATTAAAAAGCCTATGAGATTGTCTATATAATAATCTTACCTTTAGATTTTATAAGAGATCAATTAGCTCTAATTTTTAAACTACCGGAGCTACACGCGTTTTGCTGAGCGTAAAATTTGCCATATTACGCACTTGTAAGACGGAGACAACACATGTGGGTATCACTTCCTCTTAAAAGTGATTTTAAAAAATAATTTGCCTTGGTAATTACTAATTAGGTTATATCATGGTAAAATTTTTTGAACAACAAGTTCGTATTATTTTTTTTCCAGGGGGGAGACAATTGCCCTATCTTGCCCCCCCCCCCCCAATGGGCGCCCATGGTATGTTGTATGCAGTTTACAGATTAATAGATTAATTGTGAAATTGTGAAATTGTGAAATCTCCCTGTAAAATAGAATAAGGTAAATGGTTTTGTGTTAGGTGCAAATAGGTGGATAACGACTGTGTAATATCTTCCCGTGATGTGCAGTACGGCAAAAGCAGTGTCCTCTGAGCGGAACATTCCCCCTTGGATATGTTGTAATTATCACGGAGAAAAAAACGAACGTATAAGTAAAACATTTATTATTATTGA